TTTTGAAAGTGTTTATTATTGTTGCAAATTGGGATAGTTTTGATATTATGATTTTTCTGAACATCTACAAAAAGTTCTTATGGAAGGGTTGGTCATGTAAAAACCGCTATTGGAGGACTTTTTGCATGCCTCAACCCTGATCATTCTCATTCATTAGGTTCTTACATTTCAAGGAAACGGAACTCTCAGCATGACCTAAATAATCATTACTGAGCTCAGCTACAAATGATCCTCCAATACATTGTTGAGGATTTTATTGCTTGATCATCCATTTAGAGATAAGTCTAAGATATTTTCTGCCCATACTTTCTTAGCTAGTCTTTGATGACTTGAGAGGAGGAGAGATCCTCAAGGTTTAAATAGTGCTCTTTTGGGTTTTCATTTGTTTAAAAGCTTCCTCTTGGCTACTCGAACTAAAACCTCTAGTAAATCATTTCTTCCCTTGATCTAACACCACTTGGAGAGTGCTCTTATCAAAATCTTGGGATGTCATTTGTTTGAAAGGTTTGTCTGGGCTTTGGTTGGGAGGATGTGCTATAACCTACGAGGAAACTGGACCATGAATTATTATAGCTTGCAAGCAGTTATGAAGCCTAAGATTATGAAGGAAGGTGTGCCGCTGGTTGATAAAAGCCCACATGCTTTGGATTCAATGGATGCCATGGATATTTATCTTTTTTTTAGACGACTTGCTTAGATAGGAATTAGTTTAGGCTTAGCAGTATAACAACTTGCATCTGACATACCTCCATCAAGTCTTAATGGAACAACTGAGAATGAGATTCTATCCAATATATATCACAAGAATTAATTTTCTAGACTTATGGTCTGTGTGGTAGGAGCTGTATTATTGTCTTTCTAGTCTTGAAAGTAATTAACCAAATAACTTTCTTTCCCCAGTTTGAAAGGCAGCAGATTTTCTTTATTAATATAGCTCTCTGATAATAATCATTTTCTTTATTAAATTAGCCTTCTTTGTATATGTAATGATACGATCATTTGTTGCACATGTTGCTAAGTTTGTTTGAAATGTTGGATCCTGTCTATCAGCAATTGAAGCGGAAGAGTGAGGCAGCAGATTATGAAGCTGAGTCAACTGATAGAGCAGCTGGTCCTAGATTTACTGAAGTAGTTAACAGTTCCCATCAAACACCTGTATCTGTAAAAGGAGGAAAGGGAAACAAATCAAGGCTAACCAAATGCAGTAGATCAGGGCCACAGACTCCCATGTCAAATGTTGGTTAGTAGTATATCATACATGTTGGTACCCTTGGTTTTGAGTCAAAATAATTGTATATGAAATACCTTCTCCCATTCTTGTTGGTTGAGGAAAGTGAAACCTCTTTCGCTAGTGAAAATACATAATTAGTTGATTAGAAAAAATTTCAACTTCTTCCCCCTTTTTGTTTCGCAAAGCTAGCATATTAATGAGAAAATGTCTAAGTTTCAGGTTCACCTTATGCAAACAATCTTACTCCAGTTGGTCCATGCCGATATGATAGTTCTCTTGGTAACTTGTTACTTCTGGTGACTTTGTTGGAACTGTCTTATGTTTCCTACTAGCGTACATTCCTAATTTTAGTAATTTTCATGTAGGTCTCTTGACAAAGAAGTTTATTAATCTGATCAAACAAGCGGAAGATGGTATTCTTGATCTAAATAAAGCAGCCGACACGTTGGAGGTAACTGTACTTCTAGAACATTATAGGCTTTTATTGTGAAGTTCCATTAGTTGACATTTTTATGCTTTTAGGTACAAAAAAGACGAATATATGATATAACAAATGTCCTTGAAGGAATTGGTCTCATAGAAAAGAAGCTTAAGAACAGAATTCAGTGGAAGTACGTATTATGCCATACATTCTTTGGAGGTTCATGGCTCATTATTAAGTAGTATTGTCTTTCCTGTGAAGCTACTTATTACTTGAGTAACTGATTAATTAGGGGGCTTGACGTCTCAAGATCAGGGGATGTTGATGACAACTATGCTGGTCTACAGGTATGCAAAAACCGAACATTTTGACTATGTCCTTCGTTTCTGCTGCTACTCTTTGATCTCAATATGATTAGACTTGTATTCTATCAAGAGGAACAAAATTGCGTTTGTTGGGTGGAATTGCATGAAATTTGCAAGAAAGCAAGTAATTTGCTTGCATTTACATGTCCGTGTCATTGTTGTTTACTTCTTAATCTTTCGACGTCACTTGGGGCTGTGCTGATTTGAAAACTATATTATTTTTTTATTAACATGATGACCACTGTGTACATATTCTGTTGAGTGAATCCATTTATGCCCTTCAGTTCACATTCTATCTCAATCTTATTCTTGACGTTGGTAAGTTTCTCTTTGGTGAAAAATTTTGTTTCCTATCTAATACTTGCACATTTAAATTTCAAGCTATCAGATTAAGCCTCAATCATAGTTACATGTGCAGGCGGAAGTAGAGAACCTTTCCATGGAGGAGAATGGGTTAGATGAACAAATAAGGTTGTTAACTAGTCCTTAATTCGGTCTTGAAATTGAAAATTTTGTGCCCCTATTGTCATTCAGAGGCTTTTAATAATTGCAGAGAGATGCAGGAAAGATTAAGAGACCTCAGTGAAGAGGAGAACAACCAAAGGCAATAGTTTTCACCAAAATTCACCTCCTAACGTTATTATTACTTTTTTTTGTAATAAAGATGGGAATTTAAAAGTTGTATAATTTATCTAATTGCTAGGTGGTTATTTGTAACCGAGGAAGACATCAAGGAGTTGCCGTGTTTCCAGGTTAGTTTATCCCAGAAGGAAGTGATATGCAAAGAATTTGGATTTACAATTATTAAATGTAGCTCCGTTTTGAACTGTTGTGTCTATATTTTGCATCTACCAGAATGAAACTCTTATAGCTATTAAAGCTCCCCATGGAACCACTTTAGAAGTTCCAGATCCTGATGAGGTAATTTAATCGTAGAAGATTTTTGGAAAAGGTACCTATTCATATAGCTTATCTTCCACTCACCTTTCCCATCATCTATCAGGCTGTTGACTACCCCCAAAGGAGGTATAGGATAGTCCTCAGAAGCACCATGGGCCCCATTGATGTTTACCTTGTCAGGTAACGTTTCTTTTTGTTGTTGAGGAATGTTTGACTCTGTAGTCTGTGCTGAAATATATACCACCATCTATGGCCATATTAATGAAACAGTACTAGGAATTGGAATTGCCTATTATTCACAATATTCCCTTTTCCTACTACCAATATCCTCCTCATTTTCCTGCTACACCTAAAACTATATGCGCTCCACATTTTGCAGTCAGTTTGAAGAGAAGTTTGAGGAGATAAATGGTGTGGAAGTGTCCCCAAGCTTGCCGTCAAGTTCTGGGTTTAATGAAACACCTGCAGCAACGCTAGTAACGGATGATACCAGGGGAAAGGAAATTGAAACGCGGGAGCAAGATGTAAATAGAATGTGCTCTGATCTAAATGCTTCGCAGGACTTCGTGGGTGGAATTATGAAAATTGTTCCCTCGGCGGTAGATGTAAGTCTAATTTTTCAAGAAAATGATTGGGGGCAAGGAAGGGAAGAGGGCTAGTATACCCTATCTATAAACAAAAGTTGGTTGATTGGGATAAGGACAAAATAAAAGCACAAGCAACACGTTAGTTTCAAAGAATTGGTTGGTTCCATTTGAGAGGACTTTTGTGTATGAAAGCATGAAAAGTGTTCCATCAGTTGAAGTGAGTCTAGATTCTAGAAGATGTAGACAACAGAAATGAATAATTCTAGCAACAACAAATTAGTTTTTCTATAATATTTTCTGGAGCGAAATAACGAAATGAAGCATTTCAGATGGAGTAGGGTAGTTTAGTTATGAAACCAGGAATTATTTGATGGTCAGAGTGAGCTGTTTTCGTCAATTGTCATCCATTATTTAGCCGAGGGGATGAATGTTTTGCGTTCATTATATAGTTTATTTATAAATTAGAATGCTTTTTTTTAGGACACAATAATAATGTTGGCAAACATCTGATTTCTTTGTTTTTTATTCAGAGTGATGCTGATTACTGGCTCTTGTCTGATGCTGATGTTAGCATCACTGACATGTGGAGAACTGAACGTATCCTCTCAATTTAAATCCATCCAACTTTTTCCCTTATAATATCAAGTGATACTGCATACCTTGACCCTCATGTAGCTGGCGTTGAGTGGAATGAACTGAGTACATTTCATGAAGATTACAGTATTGACAATGTCAGCACACCCCAAACCCAGAATCCACCTTCCAATAATTCACCTGATGCGCCTTCTGCTAATCCTTCTAGCAGTTAAAACTGTAAAGAGGATTCATTAAGATAAATTCGATGATCGATGCTAGACCAAGCAAGCACTTGTATGATGTATGATCCTCCCGATCCTTCCTTAGGGCCAGGAACTGGAACCTATGATCTCGGATCCTGGAGAAGCTCCTCTACCCAAATGCTAGAGTGGAAACCGATGGGAAGGGCGCCTGTGTACAGTTTAGTATTAGAAATGTATAGTAAATAAGTCATTTTCGTATTGTACAATTCTTTGTTTCATGGTAAGAATACCAGGACATTCATTTAAGTCACAATTCACACGTCTCATGTGCAAAGCTGTAACCCCCCACCTCCCGAGTTGAATTATATTCCCATTTTCTGGTATCTACATATACTTTTAAATGGATCATTTAAGTTCCTAAGTTTGAGAAATGGTCTAATTTTCAATTGATTAGCTCTGCAGGTCATTTGGTGTAAAGTTTCCAGTCTTAAACTGCTTTTTCAACAGAGCACAAAGCCGGAACCATTAGCTATGATTCAAAGAATGGCTACTGAAACTCATCAGTATAAGCCAGACATTTGGTTGAAGCCTGGAACAGGAAAAGCTTAGCTAAATTTGGTAATCTTCCTTGAACTTCTACATTTTTATGCTTAGATTTAGGATGATTCAAATATTTATGATAAAAAAACTATCCTTTTATGCTTGGGTTGCTGTGAATTAGTTTGAACAGAATCGTAATATAATAATGAATTGAATTCTTATTTATATATGTTTTTGTTTCAATATACTTCTAATCCGTACAAAACGCCGGCGTGCTTCTCCGGCCCATCCTTTCCGAAGTACACATCCCTCATTTTCTGAAAGGCATGCCATGTTAGCAGGCTATCAGAACCAGCCTGGTGGCACTTTCCCACCGCCCTGTCCACCGCTAGAGTCTTAGCCACACGCTCCAACCCGCCGTAGAGGCTATCACAGAACCGCATCATGTGCTTGACATCATAAACCTTGTTCCCAAAGAAAGCCTTGAGAATCTTCAAGAACTCGTCGAGGCGGCTAGGAAGCTTCCGGCGAGTGAGGATCTTGACCAAGTAGCCGAAGTCATAGGCACTATGGAAGGTGACCCAACTGACAGAGGGATTACAGAGCAGACCGGATGACATTAGCAACTCGGAGAATCGTGCCGAGTCAACCCCGTGAGCTCTGTTGCGTTCGAAGTCGATGCCCTGGCGTTTCAAGAGGTCGATGGAATCAGGCGCGTGGAGGTCACGGGTAACGTCAAAATCCCTGAAATTGAACTCCCAAATGAATCTCTTGTCGGTACCGAGAGTAGGAAGGTTGCCGTCGGCGTCGGAGAGGGTGAGACCGACTTGGATTAGGTTGAGAGCGTCGACGTTGGACTTGAGGAGAAGGTAATGATCGGAGGGGCGAGATGGGTGGAAGGCAGGGCGGACGACGACGCCGGGAAACTCAGTGTCCATGGAAATGAAAGGGTAGCGATCAACAAGGCGGTTGATGAGACGGAATTCGTGGTGGAGATTGAAGTCCCAGACCTCGCGGACATGGATGGGGGAAGAGAGATGCTGGATTAACATTTTGGGCTTGGAAGATCGGGGAACCGAAAGTGGGTTATAAAGGAGGGATTGAGGTGAGTTGAGGTGAGGTGAGGGGGTTATGGCGAAGAAAAAGACGGTGTAGTGGGAAAGAGGTGGAAGTTTCAGTGGAAGTGTTCAATTCAATGTTCTTCATGGATTTGAACACAAACCCATAGGAATCAGTCTCCCTGCTTCCCACCTGGGATTTTGATTTCTTTATCTTTCCCTTTTACACGTTTTTCTTGTTCTTTCTCACCTATCCTATCCATTAGCCGTCTTGACTGCGCAATACATATCCTATTCTTCTTACACTGCTTTGGGTCAAGCGTCAAAATGAGGTGATTTGAACTGCCTCTGCCTCCCTAAGTCAAGTCAATGGCTCTTAGTCTTCCCCAATCCGCACGCCACTCAGCCATTCTTTATGCCACCATTGACCTTCCTTCCACTCTATTTGTTGCCTTATATAAAATGATGCAAGACTTCCTTGAACTCCATTTCGTGTTTATGACTTTGTAGTTGCGTATTGTTGCTGTTCTTACGATGTCAATCACTTCTAAGTGAAACGGAATTCTTTTCCTTTTTTTCTAGTCAAGATTATGTTTTGGTTTTAGTATGTCCGTTGGTTGACATTTTTGGTGTGTCCTATTCCGATCACTTCTAAGTGAAACAAAATTCTATTCCTTTTTTTTTCTAGTCATGATAACGTTCTGGTTCTAGTATGCCTGTTGGTTGATATATTTTATGTCTTAGTCCGATCACTCCTAAGTGAAACAAAATTCTTTTCCTTTTTTCTAGTCATGATAACGTTTTGGTTCTAGTATGCTTGTTGGTTGACATTTTTTGGTGTGTCCTATTCCGATCACTTCTAAGTGAAATGAATTTTTTTTTTTTTTTAGTCATGATAACGTTTTGGTTCTAGTAACGTTTTGGTTCTAGTATGCTTGTTAGTTGACATTTTTGGCGTGTGTCCTATTCCGATCACTTCTAAGTGAAACAAAATTCTTTTTTTTTTTTTTCTAGTCATGATAACGTTCTGATTCTAGTACGCCTGTTGGTTGATATTTTTTGTATGTCTTAGTTCGATCACTTCTAAGTGAAACAAAATTCTTTTCCTTTTTTTTTTCTAGTCATGATAACGTTTTGGTTCGAGTATGCTTGTTGGTTGACATTTTTTGGTGTGTCCTATTCCGATCACTTCTAAGTGAAACGATTTTTCTTTTTTTTTTTTGTCATGATACATTGGTTCTAGTGTGCCTGTTGGTTGACATTTTTGGCGTGTGTCCTATTCCAATCACTTCTAAGTAAAACAAAATTCGTTTTTTTTTTATAGTTATGATAACGTTTTGGTTCTAGTATACCTGTTGGTTGATATTTTTGGCGTGTGTCCTTTTCCGATCACTTCTAAGTGAAACAAAATTCTTTTCCTTTTTTTTCTAGTCATGATAACGTTCTGGTTCTAGTATGCTTGTTGGTTGATATATTTTGTGTCTTAGTCCGATCACTTCTAAGTGAAACAAAATTCTTTTCTTTTTTTTCTAGTCATGATAACGTTTTGGTTCTAGTATGCTTGTTGGTTGACATTTTTGGTATGTGTCCTATTCTGATCACTTCTAAGTAAAACAAAATTTGTTTATTTTTTTTAGTTATGATAACGTTTTGATTCTAGTATACCTGTTGGTGTGTCCTTTTCTAATCACTTCTAAGTGAAACAAAACTTTTTTCCTTTTTTTTTTTCTAGTCATGATAACGTATTGGTTCTAGTAATGCCTATTGGTTGACATTTTTGGCATGTCATGTTCCGACACTTCCCTCCATTTAGCAGTCAATGGTGATGGTTTTGGCTCCATTTAGCAGTCAATGGTGATGGTTTTGGGATGTAGTACTCCTCTACATCCAATCGACATCCTCTTCCACCTGCTCAAAAGCATTTGATACAATTTTCGTAGGTTTTTTTTTTACACTCAATTTTGTAGCACGATATTTATCAAAAACACAATACGAATGATTTGTTCATATTCAAGTAATAACTAAAGCAAAAAGTCATTGGTTAATAGTTAGTTGGTAATAGTTATGAACTAAATAATTGGAATCACGAGAAGTGGTCCAACATGGAAACAATAGTCATTTCTTGCCCAAAATTTAATGACGACAACATTTGCCAAAATAATAAAATTATTATTATTTATTTATTTATTTGAAAGAAATATATGGAACAAGAAAAAAAAAAAAAAGTTATTGACTCTGTAAAAATGTAATTAAAAAAAAAACGAAATGGTCGTTAGAATTTAACGGTCTGGGCAGAGAGAACAGATAAAAGTGGCAGACTGTTTAACACATGCTTCCTCTCCTTGGTGTAAGAATCGCATTCATTGCTTACTCCTCTCTTCTCCTATATAGTTTTTGTCCATATGTGCACTAACATTTTTTTTTTAATTTTTTTACTATAAAATTTAAAAATATTAATACTATTTTTTAAAATTTTATAAGTATTTTTTAAATCGAAGATAAGAATTTTTTTATATTTTTAAAGTCACGTCTACTTTTTAGATAAATATAAAATTTATAGTTTTTTTTTTAATTAATTTAGTTTTTAACTAAATAAATATTTGAAAAAATCCATCGAAATATAGTAAATCTCGTAAAGGCAGATGTAGTAGGGGTTGCAAACCAGACGATACACAACTTGGTTTTAGAAGATATGGCAGTTGAGGTTACAAGGCGAATGAGCGAAGCCATGAATACCGAGAGGGAGAGGGGCAGGAGCAGAGCAACTCTCCCGAGAGGGAGAGGAGTCAAGGAGTTTCCTGAGTTTACTGTTCCTGAATAAATAAGATCTAGATGTCCCTTCTTTGTAAACTCGGAATCTTAGCTCTGATTTTGATCCTCTCCCTAATTATTCAGCTTTTCCTTTATTCCCTATTTATTCTTTGATTTCACTCTTTCTAAAAGACAGAGGGAAAGGAAAGATGAGCATAATTCCATTAACATAAAATATATATTTTTGATCAACTGAATTTTTTACAAAAAAAAAAAAAAAGAAAAAACCTATATATACATCTACATCTACCTCTATATATATATATATATATATATATATATATATATATATATATATATATATATATATAGAGGTGGTAGTTTAAAGGAAAAAAAAATAGTAGATTCATTAATCACCGCCCAATATTAGGTGAACGTAAATGGTGGGTTTTGTATGATCAATATTATTGAGTTCCATGTTCATTATTCATTACTACTCTCACGACTCATGCCTCACCTTTATTTCTTCCATTCAATACGCATCAATAATGCATATCAATCTCTTCCTCCTTCTATACTCTTCCATCGAGAACACGTAATCTACTTGAACGTTTAAACATGCATGCGTTTCTATAGTTTCCGCTTATAAACTTACCCGGAAAAGGAAAAATAATATCTTTGTGACATTTCGAAATTTGTTATCTGTAAACACAAATGAATGTGCACATAGATAGTTGCAAAGGAAGAAAGGATTATAGTCAATTCATTCATAGACCCGAGTTGGCTTGAGTTGACTCGAGCGGACTCGAGCTTAGATTACCCATACCAACCAAACGCAACAAAAACAAAGCAAACATACAAAATTAGAGGTTTGTTTGAGTCATAAGGAAGCTAGGCATGATGTTTTTGTTGGTCGAAGAAATCAAGAAACACGTTGTTCTTGCATTTGGGACATTGGGAGCTCTTGTCGGTCAGCATCACGTACATGAAGCACCCAGGACACCCAACAAGCATCATCGATCTCGTTACTATCATCTCGTCCTCCTCCACTTCCCCATCCCACAACGACAAGCAAGAACTCTCCACTGACACATCCGACCCCAATCCCGACTCTGATCCTCCAAACATGCTCATCGACGACGTCGTTGGCGAGCGGTTCATGTCCACTCTCAAGGCAACCTCGGTCTCGCTACTTCTCGGCCTCTTGCTCATTTTTAACCTACAATTCACAAGGAAATAGAGGGTATTATGAGGAAGAAGTTCAAAAAATGAAAATGCAATTTGAATTTGAGTGAGAGGGTTGTGCCTGTGATGCGTGGAAAAGCGAGGCAAGCAAGTGAAGATAGCAAGGGCAAGGGAAATGGGTATTAAAAACACACAAAATTGGGGCACAAAGGTACACAGATAATAATCAGAGAGGGGCCAGTGGATATCAATGCATCCAGCACATTCATGTCATCACCCAATTACGAACGAACAACCCTCTTCAAGTTCATATCCTATTCCAAACAAATTTCAGTGAGACTTTCAATGCACCACTTATAATCACCTAACATTTCGGTGCTTTCCTTCTTTTATTTCTTTCAATCATTCTACTTTTTTGTTGGTTTCTGTGCTTCATGTGTATCAATTCATGTAAGATCGCTATCCCCCTCGACTTTCGATACGTTTCGATGTTTTAAACCGGAATCCAACATTGATATCGTTCGTGATGTATCTTTGGTAATCTCATATACATGATCTGATATCGTATTGCACGAAAACTAAATATGGATAGTCATTAGTTCCCTCTACTAACCCTCGTCAAGAACTCTTTCTAGATTGAGAATTAAATTTTTTATGAAATTTTCGAGATTTTATTGAGAGTTTTAGAGATCAAATTTTAAGATTGTGTACGAGAGAAAAATGCTTGGAAAAGTCTCGAACTAAAAAAAAAAATTTGGATTTTATATATATAAAAGAAAAATAATGAAAAACTGGAAAAATGGTCAAAGTCAACTTGGTTTCGGCCACAAGGAGTTTGATTCCGACCAAGTTTCCTTTACAAAATCTTCTCGTAACCTTAAGGAAAAGCACTTTGGACTTTTGAATCATTCAAAATCATCAAAGAACGAGGAAGATACGGAGGTAAGGTAAGTTCTTAAGCACTCTAGACTACATGAGTGTACAAACGGCGAACCTGTAAACCAGTCTAGGGATTACACAGGTAGGTGTCAGAATGAGAACCCCTATTGAGCGTAGGCACAAGTCAAGGCCGACACCGCAACTCCATAATTCGATATTGTAAGAGATTATGGACTATGCCGGTAGGTGGTTTAGGATGAACACTTCTACTGCGTGTAGGAATGGGTCAAGGCTAATGTTATGACGCCATAAATTAATCTCAATTTCGAAGACAGACTAGGACCTACACAGACTGACGACTAAGAATAAAATCCAAATTTAAAATTAAGAAACAAAGTAAAAAAATAATAATAATAATAAAATAAAGAAGTAAACCGAACAGGACCCAACCCACTCCACTCTGTCCTTGCCACTTTCCGAATGGTAGGGTCAAACAGTTACAATTAGTTAGAACATAAATTTTAGATTT